CGATATATCATATAAGCCTATAGTTTGATTAAGTTATATATTATATATTTTATTTTATTTATTTATTTTATTTTATTTATTTATTTATTTTTTGTTTCATTAAACTTACAGCTCTTTCAGAGATTTCAACCCACAGAAATATTTTTTGGAAATATACCGAATGCTATTTTTTGCCAAAAGTAATCTCTTTGGTGAGTGAGCAAGGACGCTTCTATTTGGGTGAGATCTGAAATCAATATAGTTCACACTCATGGTTCTGAAAAACAAATTATGAATTTACACACTGAAATTAATATTATTACTATTTTTTTTTTATTAATACAACATATCATACAATGTTCAATCACTCGGTGGTAGTAGTAGTAGTTGTTGTTGTAAGTTCTAACATAGTTAGACATGTGGTATCAATAATAATAATAATAATAATAATAATAATAATAATAATAATAATAATAATAATAATAATAATAATAATAATAATAATAATAATCTTGGAAGAAATTCATCTGGTTATCTCATTAAAATAGTTATGTTTTTTTATTTCTTTTTTTAAATGTACTCACTTTAGACGTTTCGTCAGCCTACGAGATGAAAAGTAGGCTTCCCATACATCAAAGGAATCAAAAGAAATCAAAAGAAATGTTAAGGATCAAAAAATAAATACATAATTTCATACCAAGAAACAAGATCTGAGAACAAGTGGTACACCAAAAAATAAAAATAAAAAAATACAGAAGAAAACACCTGCGGTTGGATTTATGAAGTTGAATGCCTAAAATTGCACACAAACTGGAAGACCATTAAGATTTTTTTTTTCTCTGCTCCAGCAAGAGAGTATCCCTAGTCATGCTGCTTTACACGCACCACCACATACAAAGGGCACCTTTGAATCCGCCACTGGAATCACTATGGATAAGAAAGAAAAGGAACACAGTGGACAGAGATGAGGGACTTTTTAAAGGCAACACGGAGGTGGCGGGTGGCCCCAAAGATCTGACGAACAAAGAGGAGGATGCACGTCATTGCACTACACCTGCGATAACAACACGTCAGCTAACTAATGAAATTCGCCGTAGACGAACGAAATGTCTTATGTGAGTACATAAGTTTGGTTAAATAAAACAAGAAATCAAAACATAACAAATAATAATGATGACAATGATGATACTAATAATAATAAATAATAAAAATAATAATAATAATAATAATAGAAATAATAATAATAATAATAATAATAATTTTATATTTTATATTTATTTGTTCTTTATATTGGGTTTCCTCTTCACTAACATACTCCCAGAGGGTTCAGTACATATAAAACATTAAAAATTCACAAGCAAAACATTTATACCATAAAATTAAGCAAGAAATCCAATTGAAACAATTATAAGTATTTACAAATCATTAAAATTGTCATAGACATTATTAAATTCATAAAAGCCACCAAAGCAACAACCGTCATTTCCACAACTATCATCACTAACCACCATAATAATAAAAAAAAATGTCAAAATGAAATGCAAAATAACAAATCATTCTAGATTGTTGAATAATAATAATAATAATAATAATAATAATAATAATAATAATAATAATAATTATAATAATAATGCGTCACACATATCATATAGCATAAAACATTAATGAAGTATTAGTACTATTATTTCCCCCGTAGACGGGCAAGATTCGCAAGTGAAAAATAATGTACTGTACTCACAAAGACAGTTCTATCTTCAGTCTATAAACAGCAAGTGGAATTTTTGTTAGTCGGTTTTTATTTAATGTCCTATAAGTCAGATAATAGGTGAGAAATAGCAACAGACTAAGTTAAAGAAATATAAATTTTATTGCTTTATTCTTGATTTTTGTTTAATAAAATGTACAGAAAGCATATGCCGAAAAAAAAATAATAGCTGTTTTGTGCAGCGGTTGTGGTTCTGTAGCAACATTGAGGTCGGATGTTCAATCTCTCGCTGTGAATTTCGCTTGTGTCCTTAGGCAATTGGTACTATGGTATGGTTGTCTCTCCACCTAGTACAAGTTAGTTGGTAGTTTCAAACACAAAATGCGCTGATTACAACTGCATCGCTATAGCATTCGCCCCAGGGTGCTGAGTGTGTTCCGTATGTTCTTGATCCAACGACCAAGGGTAATATTTTGTGAAGCGCTTGTTGGCATAAAGCACTATGCAAGTCTACATAATATATGTGTTATTTGTTATCACAAAAGCCGTATGGAATATCAAATTATAAGTTTCACAGTAGGTAAATGTATGTTTAGCTTATTCCCATCCCAAATTTCCTTTCCAGCGAACGTTTTGTCTAGCCGATATGCTGAAATGATAATATAAATATTGTATTACACTAAAATCCTAATTTTCTTGGTGCAATTTTTACTTAGTCTACTTATAAAGACTTTGGAATTTCACTAAATAATGTAGTTTACTTCGCAGCATTAAAAGGCTCATGAGATTGTGATTAAGACGGTTAGGCAATTCTCTTATTTCATGTCTACTTATCGGTATCTTTTTTCTTGAATTACATTTTGAAACTCGTGGCTGACTGCGCGTCTTAAACAAAGATGGTGGACATTTCCTACTGCAGTTTTTAGAGTATTTATGGGGTCGAACTTACCTACCAGAACCACAGCACTATAATAAGCTAATCCAATTTGCCATTCACATGTAACATTATCAAATCAAATCAAATCAAACCAATCAAATGAATCAGAATAAGAATACACGATTTGTTACACTTAAAAAAAAGTTTCACCGAGCGTACACAGATTGAAAGACTATAAAAGACAGGGCGGAATTACTAGGTTGGCACAGTGTGTTCGCGAGTGAACCAATGTATTGATTGTGTGGATAATGTTATTATTGGCGCGCTACAGCGTGTGGGTAGGGACAAGGAGGAATTTTCCCTCAGGTTTTCTACATATTAGTAGACTATCCAACTATAAAATCGATTAAATAAGCGACTGTAACCAATAAATTGACATATTTTGGACAATGGACCACTTTCGAAATATTTTAATATAGGCCCAATTTGCTGACGTCGGAGACCACCCCCCCCCCCCCCCCCCCCCCCAAAAAAAAAAACAACCCCCCTGTTAGTGTGTGTTCGCTCTGTCTAGACACTGTAATCCTCATTAGAGTAATTCCGCCATATTCATTAGTCAATATAGAGCATAGTCTTTCACCCGGTGTAAACTCTGTGACATTAGGCCTAGATTCAAAGTGTAGGCCTAAGAATATTACAGACTCCCAAAAACCAAACCTCGAGTCTTCCTTACACCAAACCTCGAGTCTTCCCCACCCTGACTCTCCCCACCCAAAAACATACACACACACAGACGAATATACAAATCTGATGGTATAGATAGTTATCTAATGTACTGTATTCGAAGTACAGGATTACTTACACACATAGTACACTTCCCACCTCAGCAAATGCTTCAGGGTGTATATGCTGCAATTTATTAGATGCCAATTGTCTGTATATCAAAAACAAATAATTTTTTTAAAAATAAAGTTTACTTTTGAAATTGTTTATAATATAATATAGCTAGTTATACCGGTATGTGTATTTGTGTCTGATTTGTATTATTCATGTTATTATTCATAGTTTGTTATTTTGAGGAAACTCAAACAAATTAGAGCAGAAGGACCGTACACCTCAATTATTAGTTATAATCTGAAAATATCGGCAAGCAGTGATTATCACGCTGGTTTCTGTAACACACCGATGCAAAAACCAAAAGGTGAATATCAGTTACTCTGTACTTACACATTATTTAACGAATGTGACTGAAACACTCTCGAAGGAATGGTTGTAATCGAGTTATCCGATAAATATCTGTAAAATTAGATGATTATGATAGTGTGGAAAATATTCATTTGAACTTTGTACATGTAATTGTTAATTTATTCAAAAAAAAAAATGTAGTTACAAAGACGAGCTGTTTCCAAGATTTCTGGAACTTCCCGTTGCTATTTCAGTTGCACCTACTGTTAAATATCTGTGAAATAATTGATAAAATTTACTATATCATATCACATTCATGAGCCAATACACGTAGGTAAGGTAAAATCGAATTTGTGCCCATTGTGCCATCTTTCTTATGGCATTTGGGCCAGACTGTCCAAGGCTGGGCCTGGGCAGCGCCGTAGTGTTGGCCAGTGCAGCCAGTGCAAAATACTGAGGCCCAGGGCTATTAGGACCCATTCATAAATAGTTCAAAAAATAATTTCCAACTTAATGTTTTTAAGAAAAACCACCAGCAAGCCCCTCAATAATATTTAGATTTATTAGAGGAGTAATTATTGAATTCTGTGTTCATTTCAATTGTTTAATTTTCATCTAAAAATATAGGCATTAAAATCATGTTTTAAAATAAATATTATAAAATATATAAATTCTTGAATAAGCAACAATTGTAAATTTGTAGAGGGTGCTTCTATCTAAACTTTATCAAAACTTTGGATTCAAAAGGTTCTTTAGCCAATTTATTGTAAAAACGACCAAGGTCAACAATAAAATAGTTTGGGGAAAAAAACACAATGATCACGGTTTTTTGGGCGATTTTTCGACCCTCCCATTTTATGGTGGTTTTTGGTTTTGTGGCACTCTAATCGGTATATTTCTTGGATACCATTGTTAACCCCCTATGCCATAATGTGTAGGAGTAAAAAGAAAAGAAGGACTTCTTACCATGAATTTTCAGAAAGAGGAAACTGACAGCTTCCAGCATCCCCCACTAGCCATAGCTCAGGCCTACGCGGCCTTCATTTGACGCTTCACATTAAAGTCAGGCTCCGGAGGGGAAAAAATTGATAAGTTATAGAACTGATTTTTCTAAGACTGAAGAAAGTAGTTTGATCAAAAACTGAGCAACGGTGAATGAGATACGGATTATTGAATATTTAAAAACTGGGGGAATAAGGTGTAAAAATGGGCGATTACACCTCTTTTTCCGCCAGTTTTTAAATATTCAAAAATCTGTATCTCGTTCACCGTTCCCCAGTTTTTCGTCAAACGACTTTTTTCTGCCTTAGAAAAATCAGTTCTACAACATATCAACCATTTTTTTCCCTCCAGAGTCTGACTTTAGAGGGCCCGGCAATCTTGCACTGGGACCTATACTCAACTAGCTACGCCGCTGGGAGAATTTATACTCTTGGGTAGAAAGACAAGCATAGATAAAGTGTCTTGATTAAGGAAGCGACTTGCACAGCAAGGTTTTCAAACCCCGATCTCAAGTTTTAGAGTCTGAGCCATAACCGTTGTGCCAACCGTTTCTACTCAACTCATTGAAACATCGAGAAAAGGAAAAATAGCAAACTATTAACTTACATCATACAAGGCGTGGAACCGTTCAGAGAAAGCATGTCCTCCTCGATTGTGTCAATATTGTTGTAATTAAAATCGCTTCATTAATTCATTCAATTTATTCAGCCATAAAAAATTAAAATATACAATAAAAACAATTCAAAAGATGGCAAGGAAAGTCAAAAGTAAACTTAATTTTCATAGCTCACGGGCTTGACAATCCAAAAAGGAATTGACAACAATATAATTTCCAAATACAGCATAAAAATATAAAATAATTTCTTTATAAACAAACAGGAAAAGGGAGGAAATACAAAATTGCATTCAAAAGGTAACAAAATAAATCAATAAGATAATTATAATTATATTATAATGTTATAAGTCAAGTTTTGTATTATATAAACCAAAATATGTTTGTCACTACATTTTTCCCAACGAACTAGTCATCGTCAGGTGTTTTAACTAACCGAAGTTAGTTCATATCATCTAATAACTAATGCCGATTACGTGCGCCTTCTGTAATGTTGCGAGATCTTCTCCAGAGACCCCAAAACTGTCTAGGGTTGAGTGATTGTAGCTGCATTTATGAACAGCATACGGTAAGTTTAAACAAGTGACGGTTCGTTCAAGCGCCAAATTTGGAGACCATTCCTTCCTAGCTAGTTGATATATACAAATTGACAAAAGAAGAAGCATATAAAAATTGACAAAAGAAGAATATAACACCTAAAAAGCAGCTTGCGCTCACAACACTGAGGTACAAAGACAAAATTGAGTATAAAAAAAAAAAGTTTTAAGGATTACAGTTACCCATACTTTAGAGAACCAATAATAGAACGACTTAAAGAAAACTTTATCACAATGGTTTAAATATTTATTTATTTCAAGCTTTCCTAATACCTAGATACCATCTATTTTCTGAATGCTATGAACAAACTATCAGCCAAGCAATAACTGTGAAATCTAACCCAATGAGTGTTCATAGTCGTCTTGTATGGTCGTCTGTATGGTGGGACAATCAGCTGGCTAGGAATTCAGAATGATCTCCAAATTTGGGACTTGAACGAACCGTCACCTGTCTAAACTTACTGCATGCTGTTGATAATTAATGTGTTCGAAATGTAATGAAAGACACTTACAGAAGCGATAGACTGCTTAACATTGTAAATGTGTTTGGTTGAATCTCCTCAATACCACATTTTACCATGGTTCTGTGTGAAGGACAGACGAAAAAAGAAAATAATCAAATAATATTTATTAAGTCTGAATATAATTTTTTTTTAAATACTGAAACACTACCGGTACCTGCTATGATCCTCACTGGCTAAAGCCAACAGTCGCGGGGGGTCAAGGGAGGGCACGTGCCCCGGGTGCCAGGTTTGTGGGGGCGCTGAAATAGGAGAATGAGAGTAAAAAAATAAGCACTGTTTAGAAAAACACGACGAAATTGATGTATGTAGTCAGGAATGAATACTTTCCAGTTAATAATAAGAATCTGAGTGTAGTTGTTTTTATTGGTAAATTTATAGATTGTGATTTCTTTTCAGTCCATTTCGACCGTTTTCTCTTATTTTTTTTTTATCCTATTCTGTAATGACTACATGACTAAAGCTCATCCTACCATATCTCTGATAAAAGCGAGACTATCTTTGGCACTACTTAGTATTGAGCGTGATGAAGCAGACAACATTGCTAACTTTGATCATGTTAATAATGTGGAGAAGGTGGAGCATTCGCCTGTGTCTTTTCAAACGGTACGCCCTGATTATATAGCTGCTAACTCACCATGGCATGCCAATAGACTGCACATCTCTTGTCTTACGAACCAAAAGTTAAGAATGATAGAATTCCCACAATTCTTGGTCACAGCCCTAAAGCTTAATTTATTGACTAATAAGGTTAAGAAAGATCATGATACTCTCAAACAAGACCCTAGCATTGAGCCTCTCTTTTGTAATCCCCCTATAATTGCTCGCTAGGCAGCCACCCAATTTACAATGTTTGTTAACTTCATCCGAGTTACTCTGATCTACCAATCAACTTGGGAACATACCATGTCTCAAACCGAGGTGTCAACTATGTTCGATAATAACAAAGGTTAAAAGATTGAATATGGAGCGAATTTTAAAATCCCACCCCCTCGAACCTTGATTGTAATGTCTCGAATGCTGCATACATGATATATTTTGACAAATGTTATATAGGCAAATTGGTGATACCAGCGCTAAACTTAGATTTGTTTTTGAGAGATAGGAGCAAATGGTTTCCTGTGAGCCATCACTTAATCCTTTTATTCCTGTCCAATGGACTGAGAAAAGATCTAGGCTTTGCCAGTGGATAGAGATATTCACTAAGAATTATTTAATCTCTAATCACCCTGGCAGTCATCTACAGATACCACAACAGTATATTTTCAGTTACACCTAGTAATTTGCATATCATCATATCATCACTAAGAATGCTTTTCTACTGTTGTCTCATTCTTAGGACAGGACAAAATATTCGTCCCTAATAATATTATGTTCCTTAATACATCAACTATGTACGATTTTGTTTCTTATCGTATCAATGTCTAAATAAGGGTATACATAATGTATGTATAGGCCCTACTTAATAAGCCCTTATATTATGGGTTCCAAATACATGCATTCAAAATACTAACTCAGATACTTACAATGTTGTAAGGAGCGTTGTATCTTTGAATGTTGTGTTCTTAACGACAGGTATATTATTGCCGTCTAAATACCTAAATATGATATTATTGATTTAGGCAAACAAAACAAATCATATATATAGTGACTTATATAGACATATTATTATTTGTAACAATGTCAAAATAAACGAGTTCTCAATCAGAATTTACTGTAGGTCGTATATGTATATATATATATATATATATATATATATATATATATATATATATCTATGAAG